AAAGAAAGAAAGAGATATGAATTGAGGGGGCCAGAGGAAAGGTCACAGAAGCCACAAAACTTTTCACAGATTCTGCTCTGACCTCTGGGACCCACCAGGGTGTTGGGTATCAGTGTTATGTGGCAGAAGGAATTTTAAGGTTCTGGGCTTTAAAGTAGTGAAAACATCCAGGATTCTCCAGATAGGCTCAATCTAACAGCAGTGCCTTAAAAACAGAGCTTCCTGCAGCTGGACAAAGATGAATCGGGGTGCAGAGGGAATCAAGGAGATGGTGACCTGTGAAAGGACTCAAGTGTTCCATCTCCAGTTTGGAGCTGAGGGGCAACATGATGAGAGATGTCGGTGCCTGAGGGGCTGCGAGAGGCTGCCCACTGTCCAGCAACCAGAAAGTGGGGACCTCAGCCTAGTGACCTGAGAAGGACCAGGGGGTCCACGTGGGAGACCCAGGCAGAGGCCCACTGGACTTCTGACCTGGAGCCCATGTAGAAGAACCTCCGTGCTGTGCCCTGTGTCACAGCAGCAACAGGAAGCATGTGCAGATGGGCAGGATGCTGGCAGGCCCTGGCGTGTGAGGGGCCCCGGGGGCCAGGGGATAGGGGGGAACACAGATGTCGCATAAAGGAAGCCACCCCCAAGCACATCAGCCTCCTAAGCCTCGGTTTTCACTTCTCTCAAGTGGGACTGGTGATACCTCCCTCCAGGGTCCGTGTGAGGGGTGAATAATGTAGCCGTAGGCACTGAGTGGACAGGAAATGTTCTGATCTCTGGGACAAATGCGTGGAGGCTTTCCCTGTTCCTCAGCCCTCCCTGGGCACCTGGGCTGGGTACCGGTGGGAGATGGAGACAGATCACCCTCCAAGGTGACCCTGACTGGTCCTGTTCTGTTTCTGCCAGTGGAGCTGGGCCCACCCACTCTGGTGCTCACCTGGAAGAAGAATATCCTGACTGTCAATGCCACCTACCAGCTGCCGCCTTGCATCCCTATCCTGGATCTGCAGTATGAGGTGCAGTTCTGGAAGGAGGGTGCCCGAAACAAGGTGCGAAGCCCCGCCCCCATCCATCCCCATCTGTTCCTTGCACGCCTCCTCCCGGAAGCCTTCTCCGCCTGCCCCTGGTACCTGCAGTGCCCATGGCCTGTGGCACCCTCCCCTTCATAGCAACCGCACTGCAGCTTTCCGCCTTGTTTTTGAAACTATTAAGAGCCCTTTCCTCTTCCTCCTCCTCCTCCTCCTCCTCCTCCTCGTCCTCCCCATCCCCTCCCCTTTCCCCTCCCCCTCCCTCTTCCTTTCCCTCTCCCCCTCTTCCTCCTTTTTTCTTTCAACAACATCTGTTGAAGTACGATGGGCCATAGGAGGCTAACTTGCAAGGCAGATGAGTTCTAGGAACACAACCAAAAGAACCTGAGAAGACGATTCCACACCTAGCTCTTCGGCGTGGTGGCGTGGATCCAGTTTCAGGCCCATTTTCCATGTGCCCCGGTGTGTGTATACCTGAGTTTACTTATTCACTAAGGTTGGGAAAACTTCCACACAGAGCCGGGGAGTGGATGATTTTGGCTGTGTGGCCCACAGGGTCTGTCACAACTGAACTCTGCAGCCATAAGACAAAGCAGCCACAGGCAATCTGAAGATAAGTGGTCACCACGGGGTTCTCATTTATCAAATCAGGTGACCCTGATCCCTGGGAATAGAGACCTGAATCTGATATAGTTCCTGAATCCTAGCACCTCACAAGTACTATTTTTTTATTTTATTTATTTGTGTGTGTGTGTGTGTGTGTGTGTGTGTGTGTGTCCAGCTCAGCCCACCAGGGGGCGGGGCTGGCTGGCATGTGGTGCTGGGGGATTGAACAGCGATCCCTGTGCTTTGCTAAGCTTATTCTAAGTAGGTGCTTTAGACCACTGAGCCATCTCACCAGCCCTCACAAGTACTATTGAAGCATCACTGGTATCTGTCAATATACACAACAGCAGCTGATTAAAAAACAATTTATAAAAAGTACTTCACAAATATCTTAGACCAGAGCCGTCCAATAGAAATATAACATGAGCCACTTATGTTAGTTTAAATATTCCACACTAAACTACGTAAAAGTAAACAAATATCTTTAATTTTCTTTCTTCTTTCTTTTTTTCTTTCTTTCTTTCTAGTATCAAACTCAGGACCTTGTGCTTGCCACGCAGGCATTGTGGCACTGAGCTATATCCCTGGCCCTAAATGTCTTTTATTTTAATAAAAGATTTTGTTTTGTCCCATAAAATGTTGTCATTTTGTTGGACATGGTGGCACAGACCTGTTATCCCAGTGCTAAGGAGACTGAGGCAGGAGGACTGAAAGTTCAAGGCCAGCCTGGACTGCATAGTGAGACCCTGACTCAAAATAACCTCAGCCCCAAAAAAAGTTGTTTCAATACTGAATGGGAAATTAATATAAAAATTATGGAGCTGTTTTACTTCCTTTCTCACTTCATCTCTGAAAGTTGGTGTCTTTCATACTCTGAACATGTCTCCATTTGGACCAGCTACTTTGTCTGTCTGTCTGTCTGTCTGTCTGTCTGTCTTTCTTTTTTTGTGATACCAGGGTATTGAACTCAAGGCTTTTGTACTAAGCTGCATCCCCAGCACCCCCACACCACCCTTATTTATTTTTTTTTAATTTGAGACAGTCTTACCAAGTCACTAAATTGCCCAATCTGAGTTTGACCTTGTGAACCTCCTGCATCAGCCCCCAGAGTACTGAGATGACAGGCATGTGCCACTGCTCCTGGCTAGGGGCAGCCACACTGGAAGGGCTTGGTGACTGCCTGTGGCCACTGTCTACAGCGCTGGACAGGGCTGCTGGAGCGTTTTCTAAGGCTCAGTGACCCCCCATCTCCCATGGGCTTGGAGGCCTGATGGCAAGAAGCCTGAGGACTCTCCTGCTCAGTGTAAGGACCTGTGGTCCCTATTGGGGAGCACATAGGAATGAACTCAGTGGAGGGCTACCTTCACCCCCAACCCATCAGCCTAAAAGGAACCTGCTAGGAAAAGAAAGGGAAGTGTGAGGGTCCCCTCTCCCCCTGGGTTCCTGACCATGTACTGGCTCCCGGCTGAACAGAACAGGGACCCCAGAAGCTCTGCTCATCTCTGCTTCTTCCTGCCACGCAGACTCTACTTCCAGCCGCTACTGTCGGCCAGCCGGTCCAGATCCCACTCCAGCCTTCTGCCCGTGGACGCCACTGCCTCAGCGCCAGAACCACCTACACCTTCATCGACCCCAAGTACAGCAGCTTCTCAGAGCCCAGCTGCCTCTCCTTGGAGGCCCCAGGTGGGTGCAAAGTCACGTTGTAGCGGGGGACTTTCCCCAGAGGAACAGTGTGATGTGTGGTTAGCTGTACAAGACAGACGCACCCGGATGAAAACCCCGGCTCCACCACGCTCACTGTGTGTCTGGGCCGCTCACACAGCCTCTCTGAGCCTTGGCTTGCACAGTCTGTAGGATGGGTTTATTCTTGCAGGGACGGAACAGAACGATGCCAGGAGCACGCTGCATGTTGTCACGTGGGTGCCCTTGCTGTGCCTGCGCTTAGTGTTGCTTCCCCACCCCCACCCCCCAGGGTCCAGCTGGACAGTCCTGACGCTGCCTTTGCTCTCACCGTTGGTGGTAGTCGCCGCCGTAGGGAGTGTGATGTGGAAGAACCTGAAGGGCGACCCCTGGTTCCAGCGGGAGAAGACACCACCGAGGGCCCTGGTATGGCTAATCTGGGCATGGGCGGCGGCCGGGGTGGGCTGGATTTCCCACGGGATCTGGGCGTGGCCCAAACTGACTCCTCCTATCCTTGTGTGTGAATTGTTATCGTCAGTAATGCGCTGAATAAAAAGCAGAGTTGCCGGGGAGGGAGAAGTACCCCTCAAGTTCCTGCTCACTAAGGCCCATTACCCCTGCGAAAGATGTGCTGCCGCTGGCCGGCCGGGAGCAGAGCCCAAACCTTGGGATGCAGGAGAGATGATGGCCAGAGGCCAGAGAGAGGGAGGCACCAAAAGGGGAAGTTTCCAAGGTTCTAACACTCACTTGTCATTGTAACCAAGATCGACCTTCGACCTTGGGTGCTGTTCATTTCCTCAGAAACTGGGGGCCTGCGAGGTCAGAACATTGTGCATGCTCAAAGGGGAGCTCTAGGAGAGACTTAGATGGGCTTTGGGGACCGACCACCCATGTGTAGGGCAGGGCAGGGGCACCATGCTTCAGAGGGGGCTGGTGGATAAGTACTCTAGGTGCCTCCCGGTGGGGTAGCCCCAAAGTGCCTGTGCAGAGCAGTAAGCCAGGTCCCCTGCAGGATTGGGGTCCAGCTGCCCTGTAGCACTGCGGTTGGTCACACGCCTGCCCACCCCTGCCCACTGTGTCAGTGACCCACACACTGGCTTCTGTCCTGGTAGACCTTCCAAAGAAATGATGGACATTTGCACCTGTATCTCAGGTCTGTCCTTACAGGAACCCAGATTCCACAGTAAAGAAAAAGAAGCCTGAGTCATTTCTCTCCTCCCCTCCCCAAACTAGGACTTTTCAGGACACAGACGCCCAGTGGCAGCCTTCGAACCCAGAGCGCCAGAGTCCTTGGATGAGTTATTCCTCTGTCCCCAAAAGAAACTGACCAGAAAGGTCAGTCTGGCCCCACCAGTCAGGGCTTCAGCCTCCCTCCTGTCAGGATCAGAGGACAGTGCTGAAGATGAGGAGGAGGACATGGATGACAGGGTCAGCGTCCGATCCTACATGGAGCAGCCCCTCTTCCAGGAGCAGGAGCTACAGCGTCCAGAGTCCTCTGAGGCAGATGAATCTGGTGTGCACTCCGGGGGGCCCTGGACACCTGTGGGCCACAGCGAAGGATGTGATTCCGGAGAGTCCTCCGACAGGAGCTGGCCCAGCACCAGGGATTCCTTGCTCTGGGATGAGGCTGGATCCTCCAGCTACACTGGGACTAGAAAGGGGCTGGGCCAAGGGCCAGGCGGTGAGGAGCATCAGGAAGAGCTGCTCCCATGCCCAGAGTCCCCCGAGGATTTGGGCATCCTGGAGGAGCCCCTGAAGGATGGCGTCTCCTCATGGGCTAGCTGGGGGTCTTTGTCCCCGCGAAGGAACCTGCTCCCGGGAGAGCCTCTCATTTCCCTTCAGACCCTGACCTTCGGCTGGGACCACAGACCTGAAGAGGAAGAGGAGGAGGAAGGAGGAGAGGAGGAGAGGGAATCAGAACCTGAGGACAGCAGCAGCTACAGCGGACAGGCTGGGGACCTCCTGAGGACCAAGATCAGGAGTGGGACGCTGGGACATTACATGGCCAGGTGAGCTGGCTCTGGCTGTTCCCAGGGACTCAGAACACCACTCAGGCTTATGAACCACATTTATCTGAGTGACTGGCCAGGTACAAAATCCATCCCTAGACAACATGAGCCAAGGGAGGTCACGTCACTGTGGCCACTGCAGGCTGACACCCAGCGGCCACCTGGGACTGTGACAGGGTAGCACTGCTGGAGCACATCTGGGTATATTGCTGCTTTTCCCAGCACCTGGGAAAGCTCTTCACCCCCAAGCCTGTGTCATGTCCCCAGGGTGAGCCGCCCTAAAGGGAGAGCCAGTCACCAGAGGGAGTTGTCGGGGAGGAAAGGGGGACAGCCTTCAGCTCTTTGGAGTCTTAACATTGCTATGTTTTAATACTAGCCAGATCTGGGTTCATATCCCAGCTCTGCCATTTGCCAGTTGTGGACTTGGGTAAGCCCTTCTCCTCTGCTATACCTCAGTTTCTTCAACTGCAGCTACTGCCCAGGTGTGGTAAGGATACTGGGAGATCTCGGGAGCGTGTGACATGGGGCTTGCCATGGCATTGGTGCTGTCTACGGACTACAAGGAGGCCCCTGGGTATCCCCCTCCTGTTCCCCAACCCTAGAGTGATGGGGAGCACCTGCTTTTGTACCACCCCACCTCCAGGCTGCCCCCTAGCTCTAGACAAGGTGCTGAGTTCTCAGAAACCAGAGCCCCAACCTAGGGTGCCCTGGGCCCAAGCCCTCTTCCCTTGGCTTGTCTGTACCCCTGTTTCTTGTCCCTGTGGCGCAGGCCCTGCCACTTAGCTCTTAGTAATGTCACTCTGTCGTACAGAAAAGACCTTCACAGTGCCCAGCCGGGCTCACCCTTGACCCCTTGGCCATGTCAACGAAGGACACAGATCTCAGCCAGGATCCCCAAAGGTCACTTAGCTGGCAGGAGGCCTTTGTCACCATAGCCAGGGCAACACATAGACTCCACATAGACACACACACACACACACACACACACACACACACACCTGTCTACACTGTTGGGCTCAGAGGAGGAAGAGCAAAACAAAACAGTGGTGCTTGGGAAGGGCTGTGGTTCAGGCCAGGTTCCAGAAATGCCCAGGCCAAGGCTGCTGGGGACCAGCCGAGCTGGTTCGCATATTGTCTTAGGCTTGAATGAAACATTTTGTTTCTACTCTCCAACTCTGTTAGCGTTGAGAAGAATTTTTCCCAAAGTTTAATGTCTTGGGGGTTCTGCCAGTTAGCTCAGTTGTTTAAGTACCTGCTCATGCAAATGCAGTCAGGCGCAGGATGCTGCAGTTCGATCCCCACCTCCACCTGCATTACCAAATCCGCCCGTAAGGCAGCCTGAGCTGGCCAAAAAAAATTCATTCCCAAAGTTTAATGTCTGAAAGAACCTGAGCTTTCTAGTAATTACAAGTTCCAGCTTCTTACAATGCCGAGGTCAATTGCAAGACGCCTTGGGAAGCATGGGGAAGGGACCGATGGCCCTTCTGTGTGTGTGTGTGTGTGTGTGTGTGTGTGTGTGTGCTCGAGTCAGTACTCACCTGTTTACAAAGCCCTGTGGGGCAAACAGCTGCTGGGGACACTGGTATGATAGGGCCACACCCAAGGACATCAGGGGAGAGGTGAGTAGTGCCTTAGGTTAAAGTGACATGTGGTTTTTGGCACGCAGACAAGACTATTGTTCTTACATATTTGTATTTATGTCTAGTTCTGTTCTATGTTTATATCATATTACAATACTCAAATGTTTGTGGGTACATTACCCTAAATTTTTAAATAAAGAGCTCTATTTTTACAGAAAAGATAGAATTGAATGGACATGTGCATGCTTTTGTCTACCATTCAGCTGTTAGGATTACAGGGGTGGCCCGGCACGGTGGTGCACAGCTAGAATGCCGGCACTCGGGAGGCGGAGGTAGGAGGCTTTCTGTGAGTGTAAGGCCAGCCTGGCCTACACAGCAAGACCCTGTCTAAAAAGAAGAAGAAGGAGGAGGAGGGGGAGGGGGAGGAGGAGGAGAAGAAGAAGAAGAAGAAGAGGTGAGGAGAGGGGAAGGGAAAGAAAAAAAGAATAACAAAAAAGGAGTTGGGATCTTAGAAGTAGACTCAGGCAAGGGGTTCTGCATAGCAGGAGACACTAAGGGAGGAGAGAGGCCAGGCAGCAGGGCAAGGTCGCCACTCAAGGTCTGTAGTGGGACAGGTCCCTGCATCCATGGCAGTTGGGGCTCCTGCCCCTGGGAAGCTTTGGAAGCCAAGTCGGTCAGGCCCACTTCAGATTTGTTCCTCCGCCTTGGGAATGCATCTACTGCCTGGTATAGGTGCTGTGCAGAGTTTGAGGCAGTGTTATAAGTTCTCATAGGCTACATCAAGCCGAGTACAGGAGGCAGGAGAGTCCCACAGGGCCAGGAAAGGTCTCGGGCCACGGTGAGACCCAAGCCCGCTCACCACCCTAGCCAAGCTCGTCAGCTGGTGACCAGTTCACAGAAGGGTGCGGAACCATCTTGGCGTGCCTGGCCTTGCCAACCTGAAGTCTCCACCGGTCTTCTGGAGAGGGTCCCCATCCTCACATGACCTTCCCAGAGACACAGCGGACAGGCTGGGGATCTCCTGAGGACCAAGATCAGGAGTGGGACGCTGGGTGATGTCCGGCGCTGCACCACTGCTGTCGCTGTTTGCCATTGCTGGGGTAATTTCTAGGAACTTCAGCCAAGCGGAGTGGATCTGATGGCTCCCTTTCCACGGACACAGAAGCCTTCCTGGCTGGTGCAGCCTTGAGCAGTCCCTTTCCACCTGCTGCGGCCCTACTTCACGCTCTGAGGGACCGGGTGGCCCAGTCTTCAGAGGAGACAAGAATAGGTCAGCACGCACACGGGTTGTAAGAATGAGAAATCCCTGGTTCCCATCCCTTCAATTCACCAGGACAAAGAGACAGTGAATGTCAGCTATCCGGCCCCGTAGCCAGCTGAGTACTAGGGCCTTTCTGGAAAACCAACCAGCCCTCCCCCTCCAGCCCACCTCCTACCCTGCCCTCCACTGCCGGAGGCCTGTAGAGGGGCGCTCAGATCATGGACTGCCACCTGCTGGAGCCAAGTGGGATGGCAGGGCTGCTGGAGATCTCCTTTAGTGAAGGGGCTGTTTTTCTACATCTGGGACAGAGGCTTGGCATTGACTAAATGAATGAAGAATAAAGGAGTGAACTGATTTGAGTCAGATCCAGGAGGCAGCTGGCAATGGTTGACTTCCTCGGAGGGGGGCTGGTAATTCTGCATTAGAGGACAGCATCCAGGTCCATTTGGGTCACACATGGGTAACGGGCCTTCCTCCCCAGCATCTGCTTGGAGCAGGAGACAAACTAATCCTATAATCCTCTGGCTGCAGCTTACTGTTCTATAACTTATCAGGGCTTGATTCATGGCTGCTGTCTACCTCCTTCCTGAGCTCAGTCCTGTGTGCACAAACCAAAGGTGACGTGAAGTTAGGGGAGCTTCTTCTTAGAAAAACAAACTAGAGTTGTATCTATATTTAAATGAGTGAGTCATTCCCATGAGTCAATTAGTTAAAAGGACTGGCTGGCACCAGGACCCGGTCCAACCCAAGCCCCCCCCCCCCCCCCCCCCGGGCCTGCAGCAATACAGGAGCTGGAGGTGTGAGAGTGTCGCATAGACTGGCCAGTGGCCTTTCCTTCCTTATTGCGCATTTATGTGGATCAGAGGGGCCTCCTGTCCTGCTAGGACAAACTATCAGCAGTGGAAGAGGCCTTGGGGGGATGCCAAAGTGAGGCTGTCCTACCCACTGTAAGCCTCTGCTGCTTGGGACAATAACTGGGCCACCTTGAAAGCCAGATTCCAACAGGAGATGCCACACACACACACACACACACACAACACTTACTTGTGAGCCTTGGGCCCTTGGGCCCCTATGGACACACACACACACACACACACACACACACACACACACACACACTCCTAAGTAGTCCCAAGGAGGGTGGCTGAGCCCAGGCCCTGACCTGCAGGATGCGAGGCTGTCCTTCCCATCCCTGCCCTTCGGCCTCCCAAATGCCTGCCGACCTGAACTTGAACACGCACCCTTGTCTGCTTTGCTGCCTCCTTCCACCCTGAAACTTGCATATCCAGATCTGCAAAGTCCTGTAAGGGGCCTCACTGACCCCCTTGCAGTAACAGAGGGCCCTAGCTGCACAAGACCCCACCTCAAGAACTCCAGAGACAGCAGCGCAGAGAGGCTGGTGGGTAGAGACTCTCCCTTCTGTGTCGCAGGTGAGCAAGCCAAGGATGAGGGGTGACACGGTCCACAAGCAGCAGGGAAGTGGCAGAGCTAGGAGCTGCGTGACCACTGTGTGCCCAAGTTCACATCCCGTCCACCTTCCCTGGCTTCTGGGGCAGATGGGGCTGTTCCCCAATCCTGGCATGAGGATGTCTTTGTGAAGAGGTGACCTTAGAAACAGGCAATAAGCTTCTGGGAGCCCACATCGCAGAGAGAGCTCAGTGCTTCTAAGCAAGGTCAATCAATGCTAAGGTGAATGTGTGCTTATGTCGGGGACAACAGTCCAGTTGGGAATCGTGGGGTGTCAGGGAGGTCTCCCAAGCCCAAAATGTATAAAAGCCAAGTCATTCAAGCTCCAAGGCCCTTAGGAAACTTCTAGACCAAGATTCCACTACAAACAGAAAAACTGAATGAGAATTAGAGGGGAACAAGACCTACCCAGGGTTTTCCAGAGCCAAGTGCAGGGGCCAGGCCCAGGCTGGTGGCCTGGGACATTGGGACATCTATGCCAATATCGCTGATTGTGTGTGTGTGTGTGTGTGTGTGTGTGTGTGTGTGTGTGGCCAGCTCAGTCCACCAGGGGGAGGGGCTGGCTGGCATGTGGTGCTGGGGGATTGAACCGCGGTCCCTGTGCTTTGCTAAGCTTATTCTAAGTAGGTGCTTTAGACCACTGAGCCATCTCACCAGCCCCCTCCTGGGGACTCTTGCAACTCAGTAAGTGAGTCTCTCTCTCGGTCTCTCTCTGTCTCTGTCTCTCTCTCTCTCTCTCTCTTTCTCCCCTCTCTCCCCCTCTGTGCATCTCTCTCTGTGTGTGTCTCTGTGTCTTTGTCTCTCTTCTTCTCTCTTCCTCTCTCTTTCTCTCCTCTCTGTCTGTCTGTCTCTCTCCTCCTGTGTGTGTGTCTCTCTCTCTTTCTCT